TCTTCTTTTTTATGTTTGTTACTCTCTTGTAACACCTCTAATCTTCGGCACTTATATGACCTTATTGTGTTGCAAGTGCCGTAAAACGCTTACTGACACAAATTCCTGTTCAATTGTTTTAATTTTGATGAAAAAGGTACCCATCTGTCTGGAATAGACGTAAAGACATTTGGGACCGAAGGAGGCCGGGGGTAGCTGCTAGGTGTTAGAGGTAAAAATCAACGATTATAAGTGGCGCCAAAGTTCGGTGGCTTCTAAAGCTATAATAATAACAATAATAATAAAATGAATTTATATAGCGCATTTCCACAAAGAAGTGCTCAATGCGATGTACAATAATACAAAGAACATATGAAGCGCAATGCTCCTATAGTAATCTCTTTCTCTCACTAGTCTCACTCTCTCTGTCTCTGTTTGTCTGTCTGTCTGTCTGTCTGTCTGTCTGTCTGTCTGTCTGTCTGTCTGTCTGTCTGTCTGTCTGTCTGTCTGTCTGTCTCTCTCTCTCTCTCTCTCTCTCTCTCTCTCTCTCTCTCTCTCTCTCTCTCTCCAGTACATCCTTGAGTAAAGACAATCCCACAAGGCTTACCCAGACACCCTCGCACACATTGATGAATTCACACAGTCATAAATTCTTACGTAACAGAACAGCATGAATATACTGAGAGAACATAATAGATACTGAGAGAACATAATAATATTTGTATTGTGAATGTCGGAGATTACAGATTGAAGCTGGACTGAAACAAAATGCGTTTTAAGTGCTGATTTAAATGTTGATAAAGTGTTGGACTCCCGTAGATGAGCTGGTAAAGCGTTCCACAAGGATAGGCGGGGTGTGAAAAAGCTCTCCCTCCGTGTGTCTGACTTTTGCTTTGGACAGGTCTTAAAAGTCTTTTCGTCGCCGATCTTAAAGGCCGAGATGGTATGTATTCGATGACCATGTCACAAAGATATGATGGTGCAATGCTGTTGACGCACTTAAAACAAAGAACAATTATTTTGTACTGAATTCGTGCTTTCACCGGGAGCCAATGTAGTTGAATTAGCATTGGTGTTATATGCTTTTAGAGAGATTTCTTTAAAATTATGCCAGCTGCTTGGTTCTGGAGTCGCTGTAATCTATTTAACGTTTCAATGGGAAGGTTTCCAAACAAAAAATTGCAGTAGTCTAGACGTGAATTGACAAAAGAAGAGATGAAGGTTTTGATAGAATCAACACTAAGATATGTTGACATTTGTCCTATTCTGCGTAGTTCTAGATAAATTACCTTACATAGATGGTTTATCTGATAGTGCATAGAGAGTTTGCAGTCAAAATAAACGCCTAGATTTTTCGCTTTATCTGTGAAAAAGATGTTATCATTCCCAATACATATATGGTCAAAATTGCAAAGCAATATCCCCAGTTTGGCATTGCAAAACAGAACTTCGGTCTTATCATCATTCATTATAAGTCTGTTTAACATCATCCATTTTTTTACCTCCACAATACATTGTTCCATGCTGGTAACTAGACAATTGAAATTTGTTGGCAAAACAGACTTGTACAGCTGAGTGTCGTCTGCGTACATGTGGTAGTTAAGGTCGTGCTCCCTAATTATTGAACCTAAGGGCTTTGTATATAGTGTGTATAAGAGTGGTCCAAGCACGGACCCTTGGGGCACGCCAAATAGCAAGCTGAAAATGGATGATATTTCACCTTTTCCAAGTAGACTGTGTATGATTAAACAAATAGGACCCAAACCAT